TCGAGTGATAATCGATAACTATCAACGACGCTAATACATCAAACTGTCTTTTACCTTTTTCCTTCGCAACTAGTACGTAAACAGATGGAAATTGTCTGGTTTTAGAACTACGTCTTTCATTGAACAGCTTCTTAATTTTACTGCATACCTGAGTGGATTGTCAAAAAGTAGAAATATGCTATGCCGCTTTTTGTGTTGTGTTGAAGAAATATATTTTAACTTGGTTATGAAATTTATAACATTACAATCTATTATAACAAGTTTATTTTCTATCAAATATATTTTAAGAGAGTTTATTTCTATTCTAATTATATTTTAAATTTGTATAATAAATTCCTGATCTGTTTATAAAAGCTTTAAGTGTTTATTGCTGGGTTGGGATGCAGTTTATATTCCAATATTACGCTCTTCAGCGGAAAAGAGAGCGAATTAGATCAATAGACATTTTTTATGCACTGAGCTGGCTTTATTATATGTGCAGTTGTTTGTTCGCTGTCAATAGTGAATTTATACGTTTATAATACTCCTTAAATGCCAGAAGTGATCGCGAGAGTGGATGCACTAGTTTTTAAGAACAATTGTTTTTGTTGAAAAAATGACACAGGGGATGCCTATTTTTAGATCAGTGAGGTTGGAAACACTATTAGGAAAGGTTTTACTGTTTCATTCTCTGATATACATATGCATGTATGTAAATTGCAAATACTCAAATTCGAAGCTAAGGTCAACAACCTTCAAAATCACTTTACTAAAATTATTACTATTGGCAAATCAACTATATTTTGTATTTTTGCAGATATTAATTTCTTTGAAAAATAAAAGTTATCCACATACGTTTGTATTTCAAAGGACCAATATATCGTGGGATGACTTCATTTTTTGGTTTTCTGTTTTTACATAGTATGCAAACATTTATACAGATTTGAAATTCACTTCTTTTGGATACGTATGAAAATATTATATTAAATTTCAATTGGGAAATTAATTAAATTTAAAATGTTCTTACGTTCCTTGTTTATGCTTGTATGCTTCGTTGGTCACTTAGTAATTGTTGTAGTAGTAGTTGGATACAGATGCTGCAGCTTTCTCCTTCTTTATCTAAGTTAGACATTACATAAACCATTTATATATTAGCCGAAACCCCTTGTTTACATTTTGTTGCATTCTGTGAAGCCAAGTTAAAAGCTAACACATTTACTTTTACATATACTCACTGTTACCGGTAAAGTAAATTTTGTTACTTTTCTTTAACACCAGAAATTGAATTTGGTATTCTGTCGAATTGGTTACAATGTTTGAAAAAAATTTGGCAGCACTGCTTTTTTCGTCCATGTCAAATTCTATTTGCCAGTTGATAAAGTAAAGAGAAAAATATTCACATCAAAATGGAAAACGATGCACAAAAAAATTAAAATTTTTATTAATTTGTTTATTAAATCTTAAATATTTGAACCTAATTATGGAAAATATGCCTGGACAACCAAAAAGGTAAAAAAACGTTATCTTACAAACTAAAGGGCTATTTTTGTCTCGAAATTTTCTTAAAATACGGCTTTTTGCACTTTTTTCTTCATATTCAATGAATTCCAGGCCTAAAATATACCTACCCATTTTGGTTTTTATTTTTTCTGAAAGTAACAGCACAAAATCAGACAATCGATTTTTTGTTACCTCCTATTTCGCTGGTAACAAAATTTACAGGGTAACAGTGAGCTCAGAATACCATTCAGTAAATTTTGTTACCTAGACAGAATAGGCCGGTTAATATACGTTCTTTGGTGGCACCAAAAACGTGTGCTTATACAGACACGATTAGTTGAAATCAATTATACTCACTTTCGCACTATTTTATATAATATTTACACAAATTCACACAGCACTCACTTTTTCACATTTTCCATACAATGCAGCACAATTTATTTTGTAAAGTGAGGATGAGCTCGAACTGATAACTTTCAAGATGAACAATTATCGATAACTATCAACGACGCTGATACATCGAACTATCCTTTACCTTTTTCCTTTACAACCAGTACCAAATAATATGGAAATTGTCTGGTTTTAAAACTAAGTCTTTCATTGAATTAGTTCTTAGTTTTACTGCAGAGGATAGCAGCAAACAAATATGTATGTAAATATTATATTTTGTATTTGCATACCTCAGTGGATTGACCAAAAGATAGAAATATGCTATGCTAAGGCAGTCAAGCATTGTCCGTCATTCAAAGTATTGTGCATCGGAAACGACTAATATTTCTCATCGCTCTGGTAATACTCGAATGTCTCCTCAAAAAACTAGTTCTCTCTGTTCTCGATCGCATCATTGAGACATTCTGGAATTCCTTACAAAGACACCGGTTTGGATGTGAAATCGTTATGCATCCATAGAAAAGGCCAAAGTTCGAAAACAGCAAGGGCTGAAGAATATGGCAAGTGGGTTAAGACATCTCTTATTTCCACGTTTCCTGATTGTTTTTGACCGTTACAACTACGTGGGGCCAGGCGTTAGTAAGTTGCAAAATCATCTTGCAATACTTTCTTTGAGGCGTCGAAACCACTATCTGCTTGACTTATTGATCGTCGCAGATTCACCATAAACTTTGAAAAGGATTAGCTGCACTTTTCTACCATTTATATAAAATAAAATAGGCAAAAAACAATATTGCTGTCAGAAACAGACACTGTTGCATACTATTGTGAAAACTTTCCAATAAAATAGGTAATCGCTTTTAAGATCAATCACAACTTGCAGGTGGAGCCATATTTTTCCCGAATTGCATTGATTTGTACCCTCCCATAATAGCGGTCCCACCGGGTGTAAGCATGACATGAAATAAATGATAAAAAAACAACAGCCCTTCGTCGTCCGGCTTGGAAAAAGCTATTTGTTGAAGAAATGCACACCACAAATCGGATAAGAAATTCGGCCGAAAATTGCTTCAGCAGTCACAAAGCTCCAAATATATCATACACATATATTTTGGTAAATCAAAACCAAAAAGATGAAAATCATAAAAGAAAACAGATTTAAAATTTAACTTTAATTATTTATTTTATGTTTGATGTAACGTTTTGAAAAAGAAAAATTAAAAATAATCGCTATATAAAAGTTCAGGCGAATATTAAATTCAATGAAATTGTATACAGAGTAAAATGCTATAAATTTGATTGAATGTGTTAATTTAATGAATAATATATATTATTTGCACTTTTAAGGGGCACACCTAGTGTGATGGCAAAAAAAAAGGTGATTTTTGGGAATTTTTATTAAAAAAATATTTTATCAATTATTTTAAAATTTTAAGAATATATCTATAAATGTTTCAAGAATATATAGTGAAATTTGTGAAGAAAAAAATTAAATATTTTTTAAGTTATAGTCGATATCCAGCGGCCCGAAAAAAAGGTCCTTCACTGCTGCCTTCTCCGTGGATGAAATCTCAAAAAAAAATCTCGTTAAACAGATAATATTGTCTGTAAAAAGACCTGCGATAAAAAAATCAAAAATTGACAATATGGCGGCGTTTTAAAAAGAATAGTCGAATTTTACCCAAAATTTTGGTCGTTTTTGGCCTGCCAAAATTCGATTTTTTGATCAGATCAAAAATCGATGTGTCATTGTACGGAGAACTATATATAGAGCATGTAAAAAAAATCGATAGTGATCGGATCATTTGTTTTTAGTAATCACGGCAGCAAATTCGGAAAATGCTGCTGAAATACGCGTTTCAAGATAAAATGATCAGGTACGTCTCGTAGCTAATGAGACTCTCTAGCTGCTGAGCGGCTGCTCCTTAAATTGCTATAACTCAAAAACTATTTGAGATATCGATTTGAATTTTTTATTTTTTTTTTATTTTTGTAATCTACCAAAATACGAAAAATATTAGATGAAATGTCACACTAGGTGTGCCCCTTAAATTCGCGACTTTAATCAAATAAATCGTGTAATTTTGTTTTGCTAGATTTCTACTATCTTCTTCTAGTAGAATCGCTTGCTTGTGGGACTCAGGATACCATTGTATATACATATGTATAATTCAAGGCTGCATTGTTACGATATATTTCAACTTAATTGAAGAACTTCAATCCACTCGGTAGAAACTTTTGGAAATGTTATTGTTAAAGCAGTTATCAAAATAAATTTTATTTCGTTTTTACTCGCTACGAAAAGCTGTTGTTAATGTTAAATCGTTAACAGATAATGTTAAACGTTAAAGTAAAATTGTGCTGTTAAAATTATATTATTGCAAGCAGACATTTTTAAATTAACTTTAACGATGAGTTTGTATGGTTTCAACATTAACAATTGCATTTCGTTTCACAATTCAATTCGTTAGTTTCGCGCCGAAACGAAACAAAATCATTTCGTTAAGTTTATTTCAATTCGTTAGTTGAGCATTTTTGATATAATTCATAAAGTTTAATTGTTCCTTTGAATGGAATGGATAAAATCGCTTTGAGTCTGAGTTGAATTGATTTTCTCGGTAAAGTGACGAATTCTCTTTCAATTACTTCAAAATAAGACCTATTCAATACCATTTCGTTACGATAACAGATTTGTAACTAAATTAGATCTCTTCACTCTAAAAGTCTGTAAAGTTGACTCACATTACTACAGTGATGTATATATGAAATATGCATAATAAATAGTTGCCCAGACAAAAAACAAATGCTCTACACCTCCAATATATACGTACATTCATATGTACGTATGTACTTCTAGTGCATATAAGTACATATGTATATAAAATATATTTTTGTTTTCATACAAATTACATTTTAAATAAAGCCGAAACACGCCCACTGAATTTTATTGTACTCAACATTGTGGCTTTGTTGAGTTCTGTGGTTCACCAAATCATAAAACAAAAAGCAAAATAGTTTCGTGTATATTTTTAAATAGTAAAAACAGAGATGGAATACATTTACACGCTTCCGATTGGCTGCTGATTGTTTGTTGATTAAAAATAAAACTACATATGTACATTACTCCCTCAAAATACCTATCCAAAATGCTTGTTTCCTCACACAAGCCAAGTGATTGCCGGCATCTTGAAGAAATTGTAAGTGACGGCCGTAGAGAAGTAGAGAAGTCACCACCGATACTAGCAGTACAATCAGCACAATCAAATACTACTACAATATACATCTACTGCAACAACACTTTGCCTTATCCGGGTAATATAGTTGTTGTTGCTTTTCTTAAAAAATTCATTATGTATAAAATAACAAAAGTGTATTTGTACACGATGGGTTTGAATACTCGAATACTCCAGCTACGACTGCGCAAAGAGTCGACGATCTTGATATGTTATCGAGAAATTAGTCAGTTCTGAAGTTGCTACGAAACTGGCAAGACAACATACGCAACTAATTGGTTTCGTTTCGGAAATTGGAAATCGTGCAATTCGGCCGTTAAGCATAGAATGACTGTGTTGTATGATAATGGTGTGAAATTTAAAATTTTCGTATTTGAATATGAACAAAAAGAAAAATAAATTTCAATAAAGTTTTAAAAAACAAATTGAAAAAAATATAGTATTTTATTAGTGAACTAGTAACGCTTACTCCAAGTGAAGAGCATCCATCATAAGCGTCAATTATAATTAAGATTAGTGAAACAAAATATCAAAATTTACTAAGAAAATCTCATAGACGCCAAGGAAGCGCTTATTTATAAAAATAAAAAAGTAAAATAAATTAATATAAAATAAAATTAAATAATATTAAATAAAGTAAAATAATATTTCTATTCCACTAGGGATTTGAAGAAAACAATGACTGTAACTGCATTTGCTGCCGCAATGCACAGACCCTTCTTTAATGGATACGCCACCATGCAAGGCAAGTGCCTCCATTGTTGTGAAAATGGAACTAATTACTAACAAAATAATAATAATAATAACAATAAACTGAAGAAATGAATAAGAAAAACAACTACCAATTGGAAAACAATAAATAAAAAATATATATAATAAAAATTAAATAAAAAAAAAATAATAATAAAAATAATTAACTAATTAAATTAAAACTAATGGAAATATTGAATAAATCATAAATAAATATTAAAAATTAAAATAAAAAAATAATGGAAAAATAAAACATTAAAAAAAATATTATTAAAAATAAAACATAAATCAATGAAACAATAGTTGTGAAAACGGATATAATTTCTAAAACCACGATAATAATAAATAAAAATAAATAATATAAACAATTAACAAAAAAATTAAAAATAAAGTGAAATGTATATAAAAAAATAAATAAAAAATAAATCTATACATAAATTATATAAATAATAATAATAATAATAATAATAATAATAATAATAATAATAATAATAAAAATAATAATAATTAATTAATATTTATTATTATTATAATAAATAAGAAACAGCAAGAAAAATATATAACAAAAAATATTGAAAAAATGAAATCATAATAATAAACAAATAAATAATGCGAAAATAAATAAAAAGAAAAATCAATAACAAAAAATAAATAACAGAAATAATGAAAAAAAACATTAAATATAATATTAAAAAATAATAATAAAGAAAAATTTAAGAAAAAAATGCTAAAATATATAAAAAGCAAAATTAACAATAATAAAATAATTATATCATAAAAAATAATAATAAATAAATGAATAAATAGGAAAAATAATATTATAAAATATAATAAAATAGAAAAAATTATAATATTAAATAAGAAATACAAAAAATAAATATTTAAAATTATTACATTAATTACCTGTATGTGTGCGTGTGCTTAAAAATATATAACAAATTTGTGCTTTTTTATTTATTATCATTTTTATATTCCACCATTGCCAAAGTTTGCTAATTTAGTTTTATTTTTTTCTAAAACTAAAAGAATTAGCAAATAATAAATAATAAAGAAAAATATATATTAAAAAATAAGTAAATAAATAACAAACAATTTTTAAACTATTATTTAAACTAAATGAATATAAAGTAAATAGTAAAAAAATAAAAATTAAGGTAAATAAATAAATAAATAATCAAATAAAATAATAAATAAAAATATAATAAATTATAAAAAAGTTATTAAATAATAAAAAATAATAATGAAACAAATGAATAATGGAAAAATAAATAAATAAAATAAACAAGAAAAAGTTAATAAATCATAAAAAAAAAATTTATAATAAAAAATACATTATTAGAAAAAATACATAATAAAACATAAACAATAATAGAAAAAATTATAAAACTAAATAAGAAATACAAAAAATAAATACTTAAATCTATTATTTTAATTACACGGATGTATAATTAATTGTGCTTACAAATATATAGTTGAATTTCATTAAGTTTTTTTTATAATTAAAACGAGCTGTAACTGGCAGCCTACATAACTTTTAAAACATTTTTAAATCAAATAGTTCATTGTTAAAGCAAAACTGTACACATTTTTTTGTTTATTTTTCGGTTAAGGCAGTAGCCTGCTTTAGCGGCTTCAAAAAATGCATTTTTGTTCCTTAAATCTTTTCTAAAACTATTCAATAATAACAGGCGTATTCTGTCGAGGTAACAAAATTTACTTTGGTATTAAAAATTACCATTCAGTAAATTTTGTTACCAGCGAAATAGGAGGTAACAAAAAAATCTGCTGTTTGATTTTGTGTTGCTACTTTGAGAAAAAATAGAAAACCAAAATGGGTAGGCATATTTCAGGCCTGAAATTCATTGAAGAAGAAGAAAAAAGTGTAAAAAGGCGTATGCTAGGAAGTTGCGAGAAAAAATGACCCTTTTTTTTGGAACATGACGTTTTCCTTCAGCTCTTTTCTGTCGTTTAGGTATATTTTTCAAAATTAGGTTAAAATATTTATGATTCAATAAACAAATAAATACAACTTATTTATTTTGAAGTGCACCGTCTTCCATTTCGATGTGAATATTTTTCTTTTTTACTTTACCAACTGGCAAATGTAATTTGACAAGGACGAAAAAAGCAGTGCTGCTAAAGTTTTTTCAAACATTGTAACCAGTTCGCCAGAATACTAAATTCACTTTTGTGTGTTAAAAAAAAATTTACTTTACCGGCAGCAGTTAGAGTAGGCCTGTAAGTCGTCTAAGTTTCAGCGGCCAGTTCGACATATTTTAGAAGCTAGAGCAGTTTTAGTGGCCGAAAACAATTCCGGTGGTAGCAAAAAGAAAATGCATATGTATGTATGTCCGATCGAAAATTCAAAGTGATCCAGCCTCAGTATTAAATTATCTTCTAGTTGAACTAAAAAATTTTTCTCCATATATTATATATTTAAACTACTTTTTTGCAACTTGAAGTGGTTCTTTTCAAACTTTGAAAATATTTTAAAGTTTCCAACAACTTTCTTTCTCTTTCAAAAAAATTGCGGAATAAAATCACGTTTTTCGGTATCTATGGGAGACTACTTTATTTTGCCAGAAACTTTATTATTATTATTCCTATTCATATTTGTTTGCAATATTATTATTAAATAATGTACCACTTTATTTAAAAAATACATATTCATTTCACTTCAACAAGTTACATTTGCTATTAAAACGTCCTCTATAATATGATCATTACCAGCGCTGTTCAATTACGTCTTTCACTCTTTCGTTCGTAATTCGCACTACGAATTACTTAATTGGCCGACTTACGCAAAAAGAGCGCAATTGATTCACGATTGACATGCGATTTACCACCAAATCGTTGCATTCTCAATGTTTTATGGGCAAATTATCGAAAAAAAAAAAAAAAATTTTGAGTGTCACTGGAATCTCATGTGCGAGTGCTGTACATGCGGCATTCTGTGCATTGACAACCGTAACAGTGCGAATTTAAAACGTCCTTGAAACGACCTTCGTGGAAGACAACTGTTGACAACCATCATTTTGTGTAAACAAATCGTAATAGTTATTTTCCTACTTGGAAATGAATTTACTCGTACAAAGTCCAGTTTTAATATAATAGCTGCTCAGAGTGAAATAATAAATTCTAAGAATGAACGTAGAACGCGTGCGCACGTCAACTATAGTTGGCACTTTCGGGAATTATTTCCATTGAATTTATTTGTTTTTCTTATAATGTGCTTACAACGCTCGACCGTCCTACAGAGTTTCCCGAAGTGGGATATTAGTTTTTATTACATGCCGAGTTATTGTGCGTTAAAACTACAGTACGAGCAACTCGATAGTCGTTCGTTGCTCAACTTCAATTTTCAATTTTGTTTGCCAACATTTCTTTAGCCTTTCAATGGGGTTGTCACTTTGTACAAATAAATTTGAAATTATAGAAAGAAATTCTGAGCAAAAAGTTAAAAGTTTTGCTCAAAATGCTCGAGCTTGTGCCCGAAATTTTTCGAGTAAAATGAGCAATAAACGAGTGAGTATGCGAGTCCTCGTTGCTCAAATGCTCACCCTACTCGAAAATGTTCGTGCAAAATCTGGAGCTCTAGTATATGAGATTCTAGTACAAGCACAAAAAAAAAATTTTAAGAATCTATTATATTTACAAAAATATCAATAAATATATGTGTGTACTATATTTACTTACAAGCACTTCTCATACGTAAAGCAGTTTTTTTAACCATCTTCCTTTTCTTTCCTTCCGTGCTCTTTGCAGACTCGGGCCAGGGTCGCGTCAATCAATTAGGTGGTGTGTTCATAAACGGTCGTCCATTGCCGAACAGCATTCGTTTGAAGATCGTTGAAATGGCTGCCGAAGGTATCCGACCGTGTGTTATATCACGACAGTTGCGTGTTTCACACGGTTGTGTGTCGAAGATCCTCAATCGTTATCAGGAAACTGGTTCGATACGGCCGGGTGTTATTGGCGGGTCTAAGCCACGTATAGCTACACCAGAAATTGAGAATCGTATTGAGGAGTACAAACGTCAGAATCCCAGCATATTTTCGTGGGAAATAAGAGATAAACTGATACGCGATGGCATATGTGATCGCACAACTGCACCATCCGTTTCGGCTATTTCACGTTTAGTACGTGGCCGCGATGCACAAAACGATGATGATGTGCAGAAAACACACTCCGGCTCAGAACATTCCCACAAGCATTCTGATGACGATGCGTCTGATTGTGAAAGCGAACCGGGCATAGCGTTGAAACGTAAACAGCGTCGCAGTCGCACTACCTTCACAGCCATGCAGTTGGAGGAGTTGGAACGCGCTTTCGAACGCACACAATATCCAGATATTTATACACGCGAAGAGTTGGCGCAACGCACAAATCTCTCGGAAGCACGCATACAGGTATGGTTTAGCAACAGACGCGCACGTCTGCGTAAGCAGAATACTTCCGGCTCACCGACGAGCAGCGGCAGCGTTAATGGCCTGTCTGGCGGAGTAGGCAGCGGCGGCGGTTATCAACTGCCACCAGTTGCAGCAGCTGCCGCGGCGGCGAATAATTATGCAGCAGCAGCCGCAGTTGCGGGCATGCTGCCGTCCGTCTCCTCGGAGGCAACGGCAATGGCAGCAGCATATCAACAACAAGTGTACGACTTCTATGCAGGACATCCTACTGCGCCGGACGGTGCTATGCCCTGTGGTACTTCAACGCCACATCAATTCTATAATAACGCTGCGAACTACAACTTATCCACACATAACCTAACCATAAGTAATGGTGCGCACGTGTCAGCAATTGGTGGCGTCCAACACAGTGGTGATATGAGTGCAACACTACAATCGCAATATCAATCTATTTCGCCATTAATGCGCGCGAATAGTAACACTAACACTAACAACAGCAGCAGCAGCAGCAGCAACAACAGTAACAATAACACAAATATAAGTCTCTGCCAAGGAGTTAATAATCTAAATCTGAACTATACAACTGCAGCGGCAACGGAAGCGAACCAACTCATGTCGCGCGATGCAAGTCCCAATGAGTCGGTTTCGCCCTCCTTTGGCAGTAATGCCAACAATAGTGGCATACAATTGCCACCAACACCGAATAGTCTGAACACCGCCATCAGCGGCAACCCATCTGATGAATTAGAAAGTGGGATTAAAAGCGAATCACAACAATTGCAACAACTTTATGGTAGTTGGAATGCATCACATTCGCAATCACAACAACAGCAACAACAACAACAACACCAACTGTCTACAAATGCCACAACGCGTCCCAACGCACCGATCTCGCCAGAGGACTCCTTAAACTCCAGCTCGTCTCAAGTAGCCGATGCGACGGCGCATATGATGTTCCATCATCAACGTGATTTTACGCACAATCACTCTCAGTATGTACCACCGACGCCACCATCCTTCCATACACATACACATGCACATGCGCATCATCACGCTGCTGCAGCCGCGCAATACGCCGCCTCATCACATTTGGGCTTCCATCACAGCACGTCTGCGGCCAACATGAGCTCTAGCACGAACGCTGGCACGTCACACTTTATGCAGCAGAGCTACGGAAGTGCGGGATTTAGTTCGCCATCGAAAATGAATTATCCCACAGTGCCGCAGCCCTTCTATCCTTCTTGGTACTAGGATGTATGGGAGGATATTATTCCATCACGAAACAACTGTAGATATTATTGATATTATGATTCGTTAGTTTTCACCAGCGCATGCATGTATATTATACTTTATTTATGTTTTCTGGCTATTGTCCTATAAGTGCTTAGTTTATCAAATGAGGCTTTTTGTTTTAGTGTTAATAATATAAATATGTATGTATTCGAATTAAAAAAAAAAATTATATATAATATGTAAGTCACGTCAACTTAATTGTTTAATTATAAATTTAGTTAGTTAGTTTTAATAATTCCCCAGAACTGCTTTATTTTATTGTGGTGTTTTATGCAGGAAATAAATATTTTTGAAAAATAAAAATTTTCGTTTAGCTGAAAAGGTGCGGGGGATTAAGATTAAGATTCTGGGAAAGATTTTTCCCATATGTGGAACTACCTCCGATTTTTCCTATGTTGGATTGCCTGTAAGCCAGTAGTTTTTATTTTCTTCAAATTGCTCGGATTGTGGAAAGTCAGTTTGTCATTTAGTAGATCATTTCGCGTTCTTAGGATGCTGGGAATCTTGTCCGTGAAGGTTTTATGTTCTTTACGAGGCAGCGTTTTTATGTTCGCGGAATGGGAAATAAGGGCATGAAATAAAAAAAAAATATTTTTCATTTACAATATTTTTAATTTAATTTATTTACACACTGATAAAAAAAATATTTTTATCAAAGCTGTCTGCTTTGCTTCTTCATGGGTCAGAAATTTTTCTCGGCTCTTATGAGAGAGCGCGTTGTCGTGCAAAAGCAGCACATCTTTCGCTGGTACACCCTGCTTTTCTCTTTAATGGTTTCATTTAGTCGCTCTACTATTGAAGCGTAGTATTCTCCAGTTATAGCAGAAACACTTTTATCTTCATAACCGATCCGTAATATTCATTCCGAGTTCCAAGAGACCTCTTCATAAGTTTCCCAGCTAACTGGGACATCTTAAAGTACTTGGAAGGTATTGTGCCCCTTTCATGCCACTGCTGCATTGCGTACTGCCAATCGGAAGATCCAGACTCACATCCTGGTACGACCAACATCCAAAAGTTATTGAAATTAAATTTAAATAAAAAATTAATCTAAATTTTCTAATTGCGGTCGCCCCTCGGCAGTGCATGTCAACCCCTCCGAGTGTATTTCGGACATGAAATAAAGGCTCATCATAAAAAACCATTAGCCGTTCGGAGGCGACTTAGTATAAACTGTAGGCCCCTACATTTGTTGGAAAAACATCCAGACGCAAGCCACAAATTGGAGAAGAAGCTCGGCCGAAAATCGTTTTAGCGGTTACAAAGCGCTGAGCCATAATCAACCAAGCAACATCATCGGGAGTACAAAGTGAAATGTGGAATTTCGGAATTTTCCAACAAATGAAGGAAGCTACGGTCTAAGCTAAGCATCCTCCGAACGGTTATTGAATTTTTATGAGAAGCTTTTCCGTTGCCATTTCATATCGAGTGGCGGCTCGAGGTATTTTTAGAATTGGTATCCGCATAGTAGTAGACTCGGCTCAGCGGTCTATCTGCTCCAAAATCAGATTGTCCAATGAAATGTTGTTAGGTTAAGTTGAGGTGGTTGATTGGCGCAGACTGTGGAGTCGTCATATTTTGTGCCAGCGCCGTATTTAAGTAGCTCGGCCGTCAACCCATCGGGCACTAGGGCTTTGTTCACTTCCAGGTGAGCAATTGCTATTGGAACCTCTTCTTAGTCGAACAATGAAAAATCTGTTCCATCGTCATCGATTGAGAAATCCCCATCTTCTAGTCTTGCATTTCCACCGCCATTCGGCAGGCTGGAGAAGTGGTGCCTTCATATATGCAGTATACCGTTCACCTCTCTGGGCCCTCTAAGTGCTTGCTCCGGTCTTGAAACCTTTTTTAAGTCACCGGGTTTTTTTTTAAGATTTTTCGAACATACTTTTTTTGGTCAGTTTCTCAAGCTATTTATACTCACACATCGCGGTCTCATTCTTTCTTTTTTGTCTACGCATGCGTCTTGCCTCCCTCTTCAATTCTCGGTACCCATCCCACTGCGCACGTGTTGTGTTCAAGTGTAACGTGGCAAAGTAGGCAGTAGCAATACTCGTCCTCGTCTTCATTGTACCAGCTGTTTTTTGGTCTTTCAACAAGGCAATAGTTTAGTTCGCAGCCGTCTTGCAGTTCTCTTATACCAAGTTACAGATGAGTTTTCTCAGAGAGCAGGAGTACAAGCCGTGCAGTAAGCTGTTCGGCAGCCTGTTCTGATTACATCTCTTCGACATCGAACCTTCCTTGTGTCTTCAACAATTGAATTAAAGATTTATGATTAGTAATCGTGGAAAAAAAATGTTATAAAAACGCACGAAATGTGTGAATCCTTACATTTTCAAGGTAATTAATTTGGGCAACCTTAAAAAATACTTGCAATTGCTTCATTATCTGCTAATTGGGCAATTAAGAATGTTCGCACTTCAAGTAACAAACAACAAAAACACTTTTTACTATTTCTCGTTGTCCTTTTCTTTTTTTTTTTTTGTTCATATTCTCAAAACTGATTTGATTTATATCTGCAATGACCTTTTTCCCGATTTCATTACTTTTCCGATGAAGAAATAATTCGTCTAAATGATTTTGTACTTAAGTAGAATTAACACTTCTGGTGTAGCAAACTCATTGATCCGAGAAAGAAAGATGCTCTCAAACACCACACCACCAGCTAAAGGAACACTTGTACGCCACTAATCCAGATTTTTGGGACGACTTTTGATTTTTGGAAAAGATTTCAAATTTCAACACTTAAATAAATATTGACTTTAAGGTTTTAGCACAATAATTTAGTTGACAGTGCAAATTTACTTAATCATCTTTACTTGTAGAACACATTTCTTTTTATTTTCAATCTGGCGCCTTACAAGGCTACTTACGTATCATCAGCTATAATCTACATACTTCAGTCCTTACAACAGGACTGTTTATATTGCTTTCGTTTGCAAAATTAGAAAAATGCTCAATCATGCCTATTGGCTACCGTTTCGCAAATCACATGCGAGTTTACTCTGCGAGGGAGTGGTGTGAGTGCGAGCGAGTGGTGTTAGTGCGAGTTCTGAATGCAATGACTGGTCAGAGTTGTATGGATGAAATATACGCTTATGTATTCATTTTAAGGAGGAGATTATCGGAGATTACGATTTAGCTTCTTCACCTCTATTCAATGAGTCAAAATTCAAAGGTATTATCTATGAATTTTATAAGTTTCTGTCATTTAAGGGATTACATAGGTCTTGAAACTTCAAAAAATTAATTTTTTTGATCATTTTTTGTATAAAAGTACAAAGTGTCAGGAATATTTTACTCAAGTTTCAAGTCTGTTGAAATTAGAGAGTATCGAAATCGGTAGTAAAAATTTCTCACGACCATCGAAGCGATAGATTTCAAATATTCCACACTTCTTTTAAGCATTTTCTCGCAGTCCTTGAACGAAGGATTTATTTTATCTTTGATTTCAACTCATTTTACAAGCCAATATGTGGCCTAATTTTATACAAAAAATTATGTTTCTCGTAAAAAACGCTACAAAAAATTCAATTTTTTATTTTTTTAATTATTCTTCGTTCAGGTATAAGAAAAAATCAGCTACTTTAAGAAAAAATTTAGATTTTTGATTTCAGATAAAAATTGAAAAAGTTATCATGACTACCGCGAAAACATTTTCTTTTGGACGGTCTACTTCGCGACACTGCCAACTCCTTGACTTGTACTATTTTTCATTCAAATTTTTGTCAAATGTTGTCCACATATTGTACTTTTATATGTAAACAAAATAAATTGTGTACTTCATTCAGTATTTTTTAAAAAAAATTATAAAAAAAGATTTTTTTTGGCCTTCAAGACCTAAGTAACCCCCCAAAAGTCAACCCTGAACGACGGACAGAGTGATACTTGAAGAGTGAGATGGAATACTTTTCTCGATGAAGTGAACGAAAATTGTGTGTGATTCGGTTTCGACAAATACTCGTATCCGAGGACGGATATATTTTTCAGCTCTTGAAATTAGTTGCTCTTTAGCTACAAAATGTGCCGAAATGTCTCTCTGACTTACACAACGGTGATCAATTGTGTCCCCGTGAGCATCTTTTTCCATATTTGTAAACAGGTAATAATCATTCGGAAACAAATATAGGTCGTAGGGAAGGTGATTTAAAATATCGAAGTTTACTTTAAGCAAGAAGTCATGGCATAATGGCTCTACTGATCTGTGTCTGGCGTTCTATAAGTACGAATGAATTACGATAGACGCCATTAGAAAGATGATATTTTGTACTAAAAAGATAACAGGAGAGGTGTTGATCACTAAACTCCGTAGTGTTTGAGCGCACGCCAAAGGTGCGGAAGGCCAATTGTCGAAAATGTCAATAAAATAATTGAAATCGTCGAGCCAGATCGTCATGCGCGCACAAATACAATTTGGAACTAATTCAAAAGGGACTCGATGGATGGATGTTATATGAGTTAACGGAAAAAATCTAATGGACCGAGTTTCGGTGCTGCATCGTAACAAATCGACAGATTTCTCAAGAGAATGGTGATTGGTGATGCTACATGGGTCACTCACATCCAGTAACAGCTTCTCCCCTACGACTTAAAGTCTTTATTCTGACCTGTGAAGGAAGCAAACGGAATTGGGTTTCAGTTGCGAGAACTTGAGTTTATATTTGACATAAATCAGATAATTATCAGTTTATTTAAGTTTTATTTACTTAAGGCCGTTTTTTCGAATGACTGTTAATGTGAGAATCACGATCTGATAATTTCGTTTTTTCTCGACCTCCTGTAACATGTTTACTTAGTAGTAGATAAAAGATGGCAGTGCTGTGAAGAGGAAGAAAAGAACAACATAAATCAACTTAATATCGCCAATAAGGTCCTGTCGAGCGTATTATGTGAAAGACTAAATTCTACCGTCAAGAAACTGATTGGACCTTACCAGTGTGGCTTAAAATCTGGTAAGTCAACCATTGACCAGATATTCACTATGCGCCAAATCTTGGAAAATATCCGTGGAAAGAGGATCGACACACACGGGAATCGGGAAGGACGTCTCCGAGCTGTTCGATACCAAATGATTTTTCAGACAAGTTGACTTTTTATCTTGTGACTTTTCAACCTATTGCTGTAGAAAATAATACGGGCTGCAGAACTGAATATAGAAGATACAATCTTCTACAAGAGTGTACGGCTGCTGGT